AGAGGATATTTGTTTATTTCAGTGTAAGATCGGAATATATTTCACCGAGTGAACACCAAAAGGTATATTTCACGAGTGGCGCAGCCACGAGTGAAATATGAACCTTTGGTGTTCACAAGGTGAAATATATTTCGATCTTACACTAAACTAGACAAATTTTATTTTTATTATATGCAAAGAAACGTTTTAAAAAGACATTAAACCTAATACTGAATGAAAAGAGTGCCAAATAATAATACAACGTGACGTCATTTACGACGTCACGTCATTAAGTTGGTACCCAGTACTGTGCACGCTGATATTTCACTGAAACAACGTGAGGGGCTTAAATTCAAAACAGTGAAATTATCAAAGTGGTAATTTCACTGTTTCAAACAGTGAAATTACCAGTTTTATATCACTGATATATTTCTATAAACCACCGAAAAGCATGTAATAAATACTATTTAACTGTGCATTGTCTGACCGTATATGTCATGGACCGAATATTGCACACATGTGACATACATTGTCGGTTTGAATTTGTCAGATGTGTGACATTTTTGGTCGAATATATGGCACACTCTTCAGTCAAAAATGGAACATAAGATGTGCCATAATTATGCTCACAAAAACATATTTGTCACTTACCAAAAGTGTGCATAAAAATGAAAATACGAACGTATACGTCACATGTGGATTTTTTACTTCAATAAGTCTGTTTTGCACAATACTGTTTATTATGCCCCCGCCATGTAATGGCTGGGGCATATAGTGTTACCCTGTTCCGTCCTTCCGTCATTCCGTCATTCCGTCCTTCCGTCATTCTGTCATTCCGTCATCATCAGTTTCCGTTCATTATCTTAGTAACGGTTGCACACATTCAACTCAAATTTGACATATGGATATTCGTCGTGAGAAAATACAGGTCAAGTTCGAATTTGGTCATGGTGTCGATGATTTTTGGCAGAGTTATGCCCCTTTTACTTTAAATAAATATGAAATTTTCAGTTTCCGTTCATTATCTCCCCAATGGTACAACACATTCAACTCAAACTTGACATACATGGATATGTCATGAGAAAATACAGGTCAAGTTCGAAATTTGGTCATGGTTCGATGATTTTTGGCAGAGTTATGCCCTTTTACTTGAAAAATAATATGAAATTTTTCAGTTTCCGTTCATTATCTCCCCAAACAGTACAACACGATTAAACTCAAATTTTACATATGGATATGTCGTGAGAAAATACAGGTCAAGTTTTCGAATTTGGTCATGGATTCAATGATTTTTTGCAGAGTTATGCCCTTTCACTTTTTGGAAGTAATATGAAATTTTCAGTTTCCGGGTCATAAATATCTCCCCAATGGTACACTTTTAACTCAACTTGACATATGGATACGTCACAGGAATGGCGCAGGTCAAGTTCAAAGTTGGTTATGGTTCAATGAATTTTTGCGCAGAGTTATGCCTTTCACTTTGAAATAATATTAAATTTTCAGTTCTCTGTATATTATCTCCCCAATGGTACAACACATTCACTCAAATTTGACATATGGATATATTTTTGGAATGCCCCAGGCCCAAGTTGGAATTGGTCATGGTTCAATGATTTTGGCAGAGTAAATGCCCCTTTCACTTTGAAAATAATATGAAATTTACAGTTTTCTGTTCATTATCTTACCAACTACTAAAATTGACATATGGATATGCCAAAGGAAATGGGCAGGGGTCAAGTTTGAATTTGGGTCATGGTTCGATGACTTTTTGGCAGAATTATGTCCCTTTCACTTTGAAAAGAATATAGATACATCTTAAGAATAAGCAGTTTAAGTTTGAATTGGTCGTGCGTTCAATGATTTATGGACAAACTTATCTTTCTTGAATGTTGTAAAAAATTTGAACTTTCAGTTTCAGCACTGAAATGTATGTAGCCAATGCCCATTCATTTTTGCTACAAATATGAAATATGCTATTTTCAAAAGGTTGTAGACTGAATAATTTCAGTGCCTTGAACATTGTATGAAAATGGTTTGTGTTAACGTTGAAAAGTTTTAAGGGCTTTGAACTTAAGATGAAAAAAATTATTTGTGCAAACAAATTTGGAACTAAATATTATAACATCTGAAATTTTGGCTGCATGCGGGGGCATCCGTGGCATGATGACACATTTCTAGTTAAAAATTATATCCTATATATATAATGACGTAATCATGAATATGACAACCGCCTTCATTACTATCATCATCATCATCATCATCATCATCATTATCATGATCACAAGTGTATAAGTGTATAAGAAACAAATATTTCACCGAATAAGTGTTGAATGATTTCACCGAATAAGTGTTGAATGAAGAAATATTTCATCATTTTTTTAGCTCACCAGAGCAAAATGCTCAGAGTGAGCTATAAGTATCAAAGGAGGATTCTTCGGCGTCCGTTGTCATGCATTAACCCTTTCCCCCATGAGCATATTGTGAAAAATGGCCGTTTTCACTGAGAAGCCTCCTGTTACAAGTTCAAACTGCTATGAAACTATGAAAAATGCTTCAATACTAATCAAACTTGGCACAAATGTTGACTGGACCACTTCCTTTGTAAGGACATGCTCAGTCTTAATTTTCCTGTTACAATGGCAACGAGTGGACATCTCAAAATTGCAAAAAATCACTATGTGCCTCGATTTTTTTCCATCAAAATTTATTTCAAAGTGCTGCAACTTCTCAAGGGATTGAGATAGAGTCAAAGGCTTTTCAGCATTGGTTACATGTTACTTTATGATCGACCTGGGGTCATTTTCAGCCTCTCACAAGTCCAAAATTTTCTTGGTGGCCTGTACGAAAATGCCTACCCTGACTACACCCTGATTTGACATGGGATCAGAAATTTATTTCCAGCCAGGTTTTTTAAGCTATTCAGTTGACTATAGAGGAGACAGAAATCTATTTTTAGATTTTGTAGTATACAATATATAGTGTTTTCAGGGTGGATTCAACGAAATATTTAAATGAGCCAGAAAAAAACCACCCTGAAATGGAAATCCAGGGCAGAATTTTCACTCACACAGATTTCTATAAATAGATTTACTTCTAGTTAAATTAAGAGCAATTTCCAGGGTGGGATTAATTTGAAATATTTAAATGAGCCATAATTCACCCTGATTTCTGTTTAAAAAGTCAGGCTAGACTTTTTTCCTCCTGTTATTATCCCGCCCCAAAATTTTGCAAATCCCACCCTGAAATTAAAATAAAAATCCACCCAGATTCTTGTTCTTTTTGATAATTGACAAAATAAAAATTGAGATTTTTTTTCACTTATCTGTATTTGATTTTCATACAATTAAATACATTTCAAAAGTCATTCTTGTTTGATATTTCCACTAGGTAGCTGCACACTGTATTACGTAATTCCACATTATAGTCTCTGGACTACACAATCTGTAAACATATGAAAGCAGTGTAGGAATATGCTATAGTCAACTTTCAATTTATATATTTAATCTAAAAGAAATGTAACACCTTAATATAGAGAAATATGTCCATACAATGTAGTTTTAAAGGTACATTGTATAATATTTCATTAATTGCAATCAAAACATCAAAAGAACAAAATGATTGATGAAATTATTTTAAAGAAGCTACAGCATTATAAACATATATGTACTGACTTCATGAAGTCATTAATTCCATAAAATTTACAGGAATGAATACTTTTAATAATTAAAACTGAAACTAATTTTGATAGAAAATGAAAAACTTAAAAATTACCAGTTAAATATTTCTTCTATTGTATTCTTTTGTTCCAACTACACCATTTTCTTCTTCTTCATCCTCCCTTGTCACATGTTACTGAGCTTTTTGGCTTCAACCTAAATTTTGGAAGTAGAAAAAACAAATATGCAATCATGTCATATTTTTTATTACATTTTAAGACTTCAGTTTGTTTTTCTAAAATGAAATGATAAAAAAATTAATGTATTGTTTATTTAGAAAAATTAAGAATGATTTCATTTTCCCTCCATATTTATAAACAGGTTTCCTGGAAAGTTATTTAAAATCTTTTTTGAATAATGAGCTTACAGAATTCATAATTTTATGAAAAATTAAAAATATTAAGAACTGTAAATAAATTATAACTTACCATTTATCTGTTACAATTGGCTGCTTATTTCCCTCCATTTTTTTTCAAATTGGATAATGAAGTTTAACATATCTATTATGCTCCATGTTATATATAAATTTCACAATTAATTTCCCAAGAAAGTTCTGTAAAGCTGGGGTAGTTGAATTCTTAAATCTCATTTTCTATGTAATTATCAAAACTCATTTATGTATTAATATATAAATGTAAGTTGATTTTTTTTAATTAAAATCACAACTTAAGCCTCCAATCTTTCTAAAGAAAATGACCATGCTGGAAATAATTTTCAGGGTGTGATATTTGCTCTGGATTTTAAACTGCTGTCAGTCAATCTGTGGTAACTTCTCTATTTTCATCTGTCAGATAGCCCAGTTTAACATGAAGTATTTTGAAATACTGTAAAAAGTTCCACTTGAAGGTTATTTGTTTATATAAACTGAAAGCTGACCTTAGAAGTAGGAGATTCTGTACAGATTGTGAGATGATGGATATAAACTAAAAATCTTGTACATTACTTATTGCTGACCAATTAATGCATTAAATAATATTTTTTTATCATAAGTTAAATATAAATAAAATCAATTACCATAATCAATTTTATAGATAACAATAAATCATGTTGAGCTAAAAAAATCTACAAAATTAAAAAAAAAATAATAAAGAATAATTCAGTAAATGAAAAGAATTTTTGTTAAATGGAGTTTACCATAAATCAACTGAAACTTCCAGAAATAGACATTATAATATATTTTCTTATGAATTAAAAATTTCAGTTTTATCTGAACAGCAATGTAAACTGTACTATAAGTGTATTACAATATTCATTTCTAATAACTCTAACTAATAGAACTGAACTCTGCCGCTCAACCCAGAGATCATGGGTTGGAGCCCTACTCGGGTCACAACCATGTTTCTTCATATGACACCAGTACTGGTTGGTTCCAGGAAGCGGACTCGAAAGTGATTAATATAAGTTGCAAGAACTTGTTTCGCAATCAAGCTTAAATAAATATGTTTTAAACCAACTCTAACTAAGAAAAATCAGGCTGGAGATGAAGAACTTTTAAGACTGTATTGAAACTGGTTCTTGAAAATTTTCTAACATTGAAATATCTGGGTAGATTTTGCTTATATTTCTCCAAGTCAGTAAAATCTGTGTCAAAATATTTTCAAAGTGCAAATATTCCTGCTTCCACCCTGACTTTACCAAAATGAAGACAATGTCAGGGTAGAAAAAAACTTGAATTCCCATGTAAGATTTCTTGAAAATTCAGGGTCCATGTCTATTTCACCCTGATTTTGCCAATTCTGGTTCAAAACAGGCCTGAATCGGTCCTGTTTTTCATAAAAGCCATGCTGATTTTTCGTACAGGGATGAGGGGGACTCCACCCCCCTTCAAACCCCCCAAACAGACAGCCCTAGGGTCAAAATTTGCCCCGTCCCGGGGGCCATTGATTTTCCTTCTATGTGTTTAGCGAAAACTTAAAAATCTTCTTTGAAAAAACCCAAATAGCTAGAGTTTAAATATTAAGCATGAAACATCTTCTAGTAAGTGTCTACAAAGTTTGTTCAAATAAAAGCCCTTGGGTCAAAACTGGCCCCGCCCCAGGGGTGTCATTGTTTTTTACTATAATTATGTGTATAGTAAAAAATTAAAAAATCTTCTTTTTAAAAACCCAATGAGCTAGAGCTTAGATGTTTAGCATGAAACATCTTCTTACGGGTGTCTACCAAGTTTGTTCAAATATAAGCCCTTGGGTTAAAATTGGCCCTATGGGGGTGGGGGGGGGGGTGATCATTGTTTTTCATTATATGTGTATAGTAAAAACTTAAATCATGAAACATCTTCTAATGGGTGTCTTCCAAGTTTGTTCAAATAAAAGCCCTGGGGTTTAAACTGGCGCCCCTCCAGGGGGCCTATATACAGGTGAGCGACCTCAGGGCCATGTTTTAATTAACCTTTTACCCTATGAGAATATTGCAAAAAATGGCCGTTTTAATTGAAAAGCCTCCTGTAACAAGTTCAAACTGCTATGAAACTATGAAAAATGCTTCAATACTGATGAAACTTGGCACAAATGTTGACTACACCATAGCCTCTGTAACAGAATGCTCAATGGTAAATTTCCTGTTACCATGGCAACAGTGATTTCTCAAAATTGCCAAAAATCACTATTTTGCATTGTTTTTTTTCCATCAAAACTGATTTCAAAGTGCTGCAACTTCTCAATGAATTGAGATAGAGAAAAAGGCTTTTCAGCGTCGATTACTGAGTTACCCTAAGATCGACCTGAGGCCATTTTTAGCCTGTCGCATGTCCAAAATTTTCTTGGCGATGAGGGGGCTCCGCCCCCCCTTTAAACCCCCCAAACAGGGGCACATCCCCCTTCTGGCAACCCCCTGATGTAACATTTGGATGGGGGATGGCGCCGAAAAAGTGGTCACTTTTTTTAACAACATTTCTCAAATGAAAAACAGTGTTTTGGGCCTAAATAGGGTATTTTTTCACTGTTTGAGGCCTCAAAAAGGGGGGGGGGGGGAAACCGTCGAAACACACTTATTTGAGGGAAAAGGTTAAAATAGAAACACAAGTGAATGGCCCATGGCCTTTCAGAATGTTTCTGGATTCTTACTGGTAGGGGACTTATGGATTGCTTGCAATACTATGATAATTGCTTGTTTTATTTAACGTAGACGAAATTAACTACCTCTCCGAAAGTGTGTGTTGTTAACACATCGGTCGTCTTTCTTTGATTCGCATCAATTTAAAATAATAAATTGAAAGGAACATTGACACATTCAATCCCATGGACCTTTTAATCCAAACCGCTAATCTCATTGATAATCTCATCTATAGACACCTTAATTTTAAACTGTTAATTGATAATTTAAACTTCTCTTCCGTGTACCGCAAATCGTTCACACCTTCATGTCGGTTGTCGTTAAGTGTTGTAAAATTGTTTGAAATGTTCTAAAATTGTTTGTTTATTGGAGATAACGGGTGACATGTACAATTTAGCAAGCAGGGTTAATTAGTGGTCGTTTTATTGGACCCCTTTTGCATTGTAAAGTGAAATTTGGACCGTTAAAAGTGGTTGTTATACGTAGTTGCTTTGGTAGTTTAACACGGAGGAAGGTAGTCTAGTACTGGTGTAACTCTCCAGGATCGATGGTTAGGAAACTATCCGCCTATATGACTGAAATACTGTTGGGAAAAGGCGTAAAATCAAACAAACAAAACAATACGTAGTTGCGGGTCGATCGTAATTTCGGGCCTTACGACCATTGAATTATATGGGCAAAAAAAAGGGACCGGAAATTTTTTTTTTTTTAAAGCGGTCGTTATATCGAATTGCCCGCAATTTAGGGTTGGTCGTTTAAGGGAGACTTTACTGTATAACAGTTTGCAATGATATATTTGATGTTTATTGTTGTAAATTTATCTTATATTAGTCAGAATAAAGGTGTGTACATACAGAACAAGTTGAAGAAACCCATTCTTAAGTCTTTTGTAAAGTATAAAGAAGTTGACAAAACAATTCAACAAAAAACTATGTTAGAAAAGAATTCTTGAACTTTGAATATTCAGAGTCTTTTGCAACATGCATTTCCCTGGAGGAATAAAATAAAATAAAATCTCTCTCTAAACACAAATATTTTCTGTTGTACTGATTTGACATTGAAAGTTTAATATATGCCCACCAAAAGTTTACATTGAAATTTGATACCTGTAGTGTACATTCAGTGTATCGCTGTAAGAAAACATTAACTCTTTGTGAAAAATATCTACAGTGAAACTGTATGATTTTTCTGACAACAGGACAATAATTATGTGGCTAGATTGACAATAGGTAACTGTTCTTTCTCTTTGATGTCATTCATTTCGTTATGCTTTTATGTGGCTATTTTCTTTTGTGTGGCTAAAAAGAACAATAGAGAGAACATAAGAGTAGTGACATTATTACTCTCCTGTTTAAGAACATCTGTCTGTCAGTCCGTCCGTCCACAAAACTGGATCCCGAGATAACGCAAAAAGTACTGAAAATATTTTTATGAAACTTATATTGATAGATGGCGGTATGGAGATTATGAACGTCTTTTTCTTTTCTACTTATGTTGAAATTTCTGGTTGCTATGGCAACAAATAAACTGAAACTATGGCAAATTTTACACATAAACTGGATCCTGTGATAATGCAAAAAGTACTGGAAATATTTTTATAACACTAAAAATATGGTACTAAGATGACAGTCTGGAGATAACGCACGTCTTTTTTCTTTTCTTCCTATGTTGAAAATTCTGGTTGCTATGGCAACATATAGACTGAAAATATGGCAAATTTTACACATAAACTGTATCCAGTGATAACTTAAAAAGTATTTGAAATATTTTTATGAAACTTGATATATGGGTAGATGGCAGTCTGGAGATTATGCATGTTTTCATCTTTTCTTTCTATTTTATAAAATGTGGTTGCCATGGCAACAAATAGGCTTAAAAATGGCAAATATAACAATATTTGTGATTAGTCAAAAAGAGATGGTAATTTTTATGAAGTTGCATCTTTATTTCAAGAGTTATCTCCTCTTTAAGAATTTTGCTTTTAAAAATGTTATGTTTTGGTGACAGGGATGTTTCAAATATTAACTTAAGAGTGTCCTTCAGTCCATCTGTCTGTCTGTCTGTTCATGAAAACTGTTTCCTGTGATCATTTTTAAAGAACTTTTCCAACAAATTTACTTAAAATAGAGAAAAATTGAAACATTAGTGAATGGCCAATGACCCTTAGAATGTTGCTGGGGTTCTAACCGGTAGGTGACTTATGGATTGCTTGCAATATTATGATAATTGCTATCAAGACAACTGGTTGTCTGAATTCTGGTCATACAATTTCTTTGAAATCTTAAAATATAACATTTTTTATTTAGAACTTTTCACATCTATAAGGTAAGCTATTTAGGATCATAATTGCATTGAGAACAAGTTGTTTAGCATATAAAAAAATAACAAAAGTTAAATAAATAAAATCAAATGTATATATGTTTCAGATGGTCCAGACAACGTTGTGTTTAGTCCTAGTTATACAAGCTATGAGAAAGATGAAAATGAAACTCTCGATCAAGTAACTTGTACAGCAACCTGCCATCCTACATGTAGTTTTACGTGGTCAAAGACGCCATCAAGAACACTTGTTAGTAGCTCAGCTTTATTAAACCTTGGGAGGCTTCAGAGTTCAGATGCTGGAACATACAGATGTACAGCAATAAGGACTGGTGGTGAACCACAAAGCAAAGATCTAACTGTGAATGTAATTTGTAAGTATAGATATAGCTATAGTGATATTATTAATAGACCTCTATTAACACTATCAACTGTTTTGGTTAAATGTTTACAAGAAAAGCAAATTATAACATGGATAATTTTGTAACTTATTTATTGTCATTAGATGATCAGAATACTAAATAATCAGGCACATCTTCACTACTTTATAAAAATGAATATCTAAAGAACACTTTGTAATGGCAATTAAAACGAATTTGGCTATTTAACTAAAAGATAATAATTGTAAAGTTTGATCAAAACTAGACCACAGATTTTAAATGATTTTTTTAGCTCACCTGAGCATATGCTCAGGGTGAGCTATTAGGATCACTCTTCGTCTGTCGTCTGTCGTCCGTCGTATGTCGTCCGTTGTCCGTTCACACTTTTACATACGACATCTCCTCTGAAACCATAAGGCAGATCATAATGAAACTTCACAGGGATGTTCCTTGTGCGAAGCCTTTAAATAACAAAGTTGTTCAAAGAATTCCATTCCATGCAGAACTCTGGTTACCATGGCAACCAAAAGAAAAAACTTTAAACATCTTCTTCTAAAAAACCCAAAGAGCTAGAGCTTAGATATTTGGCATGAAACATCTTCTAGTGAGTGTCTACCAAGTTTGTTCAAATAAAAGCCCTGGGGTCAAAATTGGCCCCGCCCCAGGGGGTCATTGATTTTCCCTATATGCATAATATTATAGTAAAAACTTAAAAAAATCTTTTTTTAAAGAACCCAAAGAGCTAGAGCTAAGATATTTAGCATGAAACATGTTCTAATGGGTGTCTACCAAGTTTGTTCAAATAAAAACCCTTTGGTCAAAATTGGCCCCGCCCCAGGGGGTCATTGATTTTCCCTATATGCATAATATTATAGTAAAAACTTAAAAAATCTTCATTTAAAGAACCCAAAGAGCTAGAGCTAAGATATTTAGCATGAAACATGTTCTAATGGGTGTCTACCAAGTTTGTTCAAATAAAAGCCCTGGGGTCAAAATTGGCCCCGCCCCAGGGGGTCATTGATTTTCCTTATATGTGTATAGGAAAAACTTAAAAAATCTTCTTTGAAAGAAACCAAATAGCTAGAGTTAAGATACTAAGCATGAAACATCTTCTAGTGAGTGTCTACCAAGTTTGTTCAAATAAAAGCCCTGGGGTCAAAATAGGCCCCGCCCCGGGGGTCATTCCTTTTCCATATGTGTATAGCAAAAACTTAAAAGTCTTCTTTGAAAAAACCCGAATAGCTAGAGTTTAGATATTAAGCATGAAACATTTTCTAGTAAGTGTCTACAAAGATTGTTCAAATAAAAGCCCTTGGGTCAAAACTGGCCCTGCCCAAGGTGTGTCATTGTTTTTAACTATATGTGTAAAGAAAAAAACTTGACCAGCTAGACCTTAGATGCTAAGCATGAAATATCTTCTAATGGGTGTCTACCAAGTTTGTTCAAATAAAAGCCCTGGGGTTTAAACTGGCCCCAATCCGGGGGCCTATATACAGGTGAGCGATTTTAGGGCCATCATGGCCCTCTTGTTAAGCAAAATGAGGCTAGCAGAAAATTCAAAAAGTTTATTTCATTAGCTTCAAGAGAGGGATTTTTCTTATCAAATGCATCCTGGATATGATCAAAAGCAGTTTAAGATAAAGATTGTTTACACATTTAGGGTAAAAGCATTTTTAACTTCTGAAATATGTACAAATAAAACATTATGATATAAAGACCGAGTCTTAATTTATTTTTATGCAACAGTCATGAGTAACTCTAAGCCTGTACATTACAGCAAGAAAATAAAGCAAATTACAACCCTATGTCTGTTTCTACACTGCTGGGTTATCATTGTGGTTTTGTTTTTTGTGCAAAACACAGGGGAATATGTCAAACTCTCAATGCAGGGGTATACAGGGATTTCAAAATACAAAAGTTGAAGTTGTCTGTATGTATAGGACTTTGATTAACAGATGCTTTTTAATTTGCACACTTTTATAAATATTCAAATAACATTTTATATGGGAAAAATGTTTAAGATCTCTCAAAGGTTAAATGGTAATGCTGCACATTTTCCATTTTTATATGCCCCAAGACCTTTGGCAAGTATTATGTTTTGTTATATTCCGTCCCGTTTTCACTACTGAAATTAAGTCATACAGGATAAGGAGTTTTATATGTCTTTTACATCAATGTTTGATCTTTAATATCTTTTACAAACTCATAAAATCAGTTAAATTAAATATTATTCTGTTCAAATAAACTGTGATAGAAAAATGAAAAAAATGTCTTCTAAATTGCATATAATATGATTATATGCATGCCTTACAGATGGACCGAGGAATATATTTTTCAATCCAAATGATGTGTCATATCGACATAATGAAAATTATAACCCAGCACCAATCACATGTGGAGCAGATTGCTGGGAATGTAGCTACAGTTGGTCTGGACCAAATTCATTTAGTGTGTCTGGAGCAGTGCTTGACCTGAGTCCTTTAACAAAGTCAATGGCTGGAACATATACATGTACTGCTAGAAACGTTAAACTGTCTCAACAACCACTACAAACAAAACAGTTGCTACTTGAAGTTAGATGTAAGTTGATTTTTTATTCATTGTACAATTATATAAAATTTTAATTATTCAGAAAAAATTGCCTGTATATGCTCACAGACCACTATGAATCAGTATGAATATTTAAACAAAGTGATTATTTCCTAATTCGCTACGCTCAAACGTAAATAAATTATTTATCCCATAATAAAGGAATCGAAGGAAGAAAGAACAACAAATACATAAATTCACATTTAGGATTTGTTATCTGCATTGCCGTTTATCGAGTGTTAACACATGTTCTTAGAAACAACACCAAAATCGTATACACATGAAAATAACATCTCAACGTTAAATCGGTATAATGTAAAATATCTTTTTTGACAATAAACTCATTTCTTAATTGCGTACATCAACATGGAAAACACAAAGTTATGAACATACTTTCCCTGTCAGTATGCTGCGAGTCGGCTGCGCAACCCTACTCCATCGTGGGAGGGGGACGTAGTAGGAAACCAAAACTCAAGACCAGCCACCTTCCGTAAGTGTTCTGACATAATTTAATGAGAAACCCCATAAAAATAATCCACTTACTACATAAAATGTAATTAAAAGCCAAATTAGTACGCTCAATAACTGCACGCCTTCCATGAATAAGTTCAAAACATTTTACAAAAAATTATCTTCTAATACAAAGAATATAAAAATTGTAGCAATTAAATTTGAAATCGGAAAAGTTCAAGGTATCGCATTTCACTAAAGAATAGTTCTCCAATATAATGGACATCCCAGAAAGTAGTACATTTTATTCTTGGAGCAAAATCTGTAAAATATACAATATTTCAGTTAAATTAAAATCGTAACCAAAACGTAACTGCTTGCGTAAATTAATCTAAAATGCACCTTTATAATACCTTTTTTCAAATACCATTACTATGCGACTATATGAATATTCTTGTTTTTTGTTAACGTTTCCAGCAAGAATAAAAATGGCCATTATATGTAGAACCAAAGAAAATCATCGTTACTTTGCAGATTAATTCTACTTTGTAGGTGTAACTGTGTGTACTTTTCGGGATGGTGGGAGGGATTCAGTGTACGATATAGTACAATAAACGTGTGTAGCAATGCAGAAAACCTCGAATGATGTACACGTCTAACCGACTTTATTATATATTACTGACGCACGAGAAAATCGTGCGTATCATATTCAATGATTTTCAATACAGTAAAACTTCGATTACTTTAACCTAGGATAAATATATTTATTTCCTAATTCGCTACGCTCAAACGTAAATAAATTATTTATCCCATAATAAAGGAATCGAAGGAAGAAAGAACAACAAATACATAAATTCACATTTAGGATTTGTTATCTGCATTGCCGTTTATCGAATTCAAAAACAAAGAACGGGTGCAAAGAAACACTTTATAATATTACAAAACTGTTCAATGTTAACATAATATCAATCAATATCAATATAATATGCATTTCATATTTTTTTTCAAATTTTCAATATCAGATGCCCAGACTCTTTGTAACTGATAATCGTTTGTTTAAATCATCTTTGACATAACCGTCCTTTGCTCTGTCACTACGCCACCCGCAGCCATGTCTTTTAAAAAGTCTATCAGAAATTCCTAAATTGGCAGCCGCTGTGGCTCCCCCCCGATCTTAAACTATGTAATCCAAAATGAGATTTATCTAATCCAATTGAAGAAAACATATCCAGAATGATCTCCCTTGATCTCGTATGAGATAAAGAAGAGTCTGTGCATCTTAACTTATAACACTGTTTAGATTTACAGTAAGAGAGTGAACGAAATATAAACTCATTTGAATCATCAGTAATTTGAGCACATTTGAGATATAATTTAAGCAATGATACTGGACATGTTCTATTACCAGTTTTTGCTATTACACTCCAGTTACCATCTCTATAAATGTCAGTTTTACTCTTTTCAATGAAAATTGCTATATGATCGTCATGAAAAGTAATATCAGAACGTCTTATAGAAGTTAATTCAGAAAATCTAAAGAAATCCTGCATATCCAAGTAAAACACATTGTAATACTTCTTAACCTATACAAATCATTTGCATCGTTGCTATACATAGACACTAATTTATGTAACATTTCCGGTGTAATTGGTTCTTTTTTAGAGACTGCATGTCCAAGAATCCTGTGAGCTGCCTCCCGAACTGACTTAGTTAAATTTGAATGAACATGGGTTCATAGAACATCCGGCTAAATCATGAGCCGATTTAACTCCGTAAAAGGCATCGTCAACACTAGACGCTGAATTACATTTTTGAATGATAGAAATCAAATGCAATGAAAAATATCGGTGTCGAAAGCTGGTAAAGAGTTTAGTTTGTAATTCGACGCCCACTGAACCAAGCATTGAATGATCGTTGGTACTTTTTGCTAGTATTGACAGCTCGAGACTTTAAAACAACGCTCGGAAGCCTGGCAGCCATGGACGACAACTCTGGATTCTTTGTACTTGTCAAATGACTATTCAACTTTGAAGCTTATCAAATCTGTAAAACGTAACAAGAAAAAAAAAAAATTATAAAAGTAATTCTTACGATATAATAATGTAATCATATAGTTTCAAACAATATGAACAATCAAAATACAACTTAATATAAAAGAAAAAAGGCTGAAAATAATTGAAAACAGAGTCCATAAGAAATAAACTGTTCATCACGCTTTTTTCAAGTCGATTTGTTTTTCGTGAAAAAGATTAGAAAATATTACAATCTGCCTTCACAGCGGAAAAATCAACCACAGTCAAACCGTTATTATGACCACTTAAATTCAGGAAGTAAAAATAGAAAATTAAACCTATCAAATAATAATGTCGCACATCGACGCTTTCTACTGCCTATCGACTGGCGTACTACAAATTTATAATTTTGATAAAATTTAATCTCGCCAATAGGCGCTTGCCACTGCCCAACGGCTGGCATACCACACAAAGTTTTAATTTAAAAAATCTCGCCAATCGGCGCTTGCCACTGCCAAACGGCTGGCGATACCACATAATTTCTAATTTAATAAATCTCGCTAATCAGCGCTTGCCACTGCCAAACGGCTGGCGTACCACATAATTTCTAATTTAATAAATCTCGCCAATAGGCGCTTGCCACTGCCAAACGGCTGGCGTACCACACAATTCTAATTTATTGAATTTCGTCACTGTTCTAAAAAAATAAACAAACTAGCTCGCTATACATATAACAAAACATAAAAAATATAAGAACGGTCATTTTTCACGTGTTACACTGTGATATGATTTCACAAAGAAGATTCAACAACCTATTAAATAAAAAAGCTTGAAACATAGCTTTCAATATTTAAACAGAACAATCTAATCGTATAGCTAAAACTTTACTGTTGAAACTTTCAGATCCAAAAATAGTTTGTCTATTTAAGTATTGTACAAAAATGTCTAGTCTTGTGGAAAAACTCAAAATATCAAGAATGTATATTTCGGGTATACTGCTATTACCAAACAACATTGGCCAGAACGGTGCAGATGGCCAATGAGGTACAATCAAAACAAATGGTTGATAGCTTTAGGCACAAACGTGACAGGGGGAACCAGCCAGTTATTTTCCCCTGACCAATCAACTGAAAATGCATCGACTTGTTCTGAACAAAGAATTAAATCTTTTAACTTTACAATTGTAATGATTGGCAAATCAATCTATCGAAAAAGGCCCCCACATATCATCCAAAAAATTGAAAAATTCTGTAGTAACGCCCCAATCATCAACATCAAAAAAGTTACTTATTTGATCTGCAAACTGATTTTGCGCCCTAGGAACCCAGTCTATATGTAAAAGTATACCGTTTTTAATACAAAAATCAAAAATGTTAACAGCGAGGGAATGTAACTTTGGTTTCATACTCCCTCCGTTAATAATTTTTACACAATTTTGATTGTCGGTGCACCATCGGACTGATTTACCAGAAATAAACAATACAAAACTTTGTAGAGCAAAATATATTGCAGACAACTCCCGCCATGTTGAACTCTCAGTTTTTTCATACTCGGACCAATTTCTGTGACAAATACATTTATCAGAGTTTAAGATATAAGCCCCACATGCTACGCTACTGGCATCGGAAAAGATATTTATAGTAAATGTATGTTCAATAAAAAGAAACTTGATAGGATTGTTTTTAAACTGGTCTCTCCAGAATAACAACTCCTGTACACATCCGTCTACAAAAGAGAGTTTGGTACGGTGTAGATTTTTAGTCATTAGTTTGCAAACTTCCCCTAAAATAGCCATCATAGACATAACTTTCCCTGTAAAACGTGCAAACTCTCTAGCAGACGAAAAAGGTAAATTATTCAAAATAGTACTCAGGTATGAATTTACATTTGAAAAACGTTTCTCTGAAACACTCATTATGATTCTCAGATGGTAACAGGAAAATTAAGACTGAGCATGTCCTTACAAAGGCAATGGTCCAGTCAACATTTGTGCCAAGTTTGATTCGTATTAAAGCATTTTTCAGTTTCATAGCAGTTTGAACTTGTAAGAGGAGGCTTTTCAGTGAAAATGGCCATTTTTAGCTCGACTATTCGAAGAATATGAGAGCTATTCTAGTCGCCCTGGCGTCGGCGTCAGCGTCCGCGTCGGCGTCTGCGTTGGTTAAAGTTTTTTGTAAAGTCAAATATCACAATTACTGCTTGAGATATTCAATTGAAACTTACAATACTTATTTATAGTAACAGGGTACATCAGATTGACAAGTTGGATAACTCTGCCTACAATATTGACAGAATTATGCCCCTTTTTAACTTAGACATTTTGGTTAAAGTTTTTTGTAAAGTCAAATATCTCAGTTATTGCTTGAGATATTCAATTGAAACTTACAATACTTATTTATAGTAACAAGGTACATCAGATTGACAAGTTGGATAACTCTGCCTACAATATTGACAGAATTATGCCCCTTTGGAACTTAGAAAACTTTATTTTGTAAAGTCAAATATCTTAATTATTGCTTGAGATATTCA